CACATGTTGAATTCAGCCTCCCTGTAGCTCTCTCTCTCTAATTATTTTCCTTCTAGAAAGATTACTGCCAGCTCAAATGGCTGTGTGGGTAAAAGACTGTAATATATACTGTAATTAAAAATCACACCTTCTACAATATAGTACACAATAAGGTTAAATAATCAAAAGCAAACACTAAAGCGGGCTGAGCACTGAGTTTTGCGTTTTTAACTAATTCTCAGTCATCTGGCCCAAAAATTGAAATAAATAAATAAATACTAGTGCCAAAGTCCAGGGGACCAAATGATTCCCAAAGACTCTTCTACACCATTTCCTAATTTTTGAAGAGTTTTTCACATATCTGTGATTATACACGCGCTTTCAAACTAAATGGCTGCCAATAATTGGACGTGCTGGTCATGCCTCATTACTATAATAATGTATTGAGCGCCTTAAAAAATGAGAGTTTTAGTACAGTTTTCACATAACGTGGAGACTTTTGGAAACTAGAATGTTGCTCTTTAAAGTACACATTCATTCATTAGATGGGGGCTTATTGATCACGGTCACTAAATGGATTCTATACCACTAAACTAATTAAAATGAAACTTTGGGGCCGATGCCAAATAGTTGCCGTAAAGCGACTAAACTGGGAACTGTGACAGTTTTGTGCTTTATGGGCTTAAAATGCAGACAAATGCACGATGTGGAGTGCACTAAATTATTAACTGTAACTGAAAATCACTTATAGTAGCAGGCCTGGGAGTGATACTGTGAACATTTGAAAATGAATACCTGTTTAGTTGGTTTAGTTAGAGATCTGGAAGTCATTGCAGTTTGTTTTGACTGTGTCTGTAGGCTTGTTTTTGCTGGTATTTGGACTTATTGATTTACATTTCTGTTAGATAAATGAAAGTAGTGAGGGAAAATTAAGTCGTCTCAATCAATACAATACTTTCCTTTATTGCAGGTACTGCAAACGCAGTGCATGAATGGCACTAAAAAAAAAATTACACTGTGCCTACTAAAATGAAGCACTCAAGTTTGTAACAGTAAGACTAAACTTTATCAGTGGTTAAACTAAGGTTGTCCAAAATACAGCCCATGGACCAAAACCACCCTGCCAAAAGATTTAATCCAGTCCTCAAAGGGCTTTGCAAAGATGGAGGTCTGAGTCATTGTCAGCTTTACAATCTTTTGTTGAAAAAGACAATTAGAAGCTTTTGACCAACATCCCGGTGACAGTTAACCGGAGTAGCTGTCATGATGCATTCCACTCATTTTGGACCTTAGAGTTCTTTGCAATGGCAGCACACTGGCTGAATGTGGACATTTTGTGAAATTTCACTTATTTTTCTTAAAACATAGTAGTTTATTAATTAAGTTCAAGTTGCTCTTTGTTCTATGCAAAGGTTGTGCTAGTTGTGAGATCAAATTTGGTTGCATGGGGCGAATGGACTAAAAAGTCAATTTATGCAATCAGTAAAGAGTATCTGCTAACATTTACACAATAATTATTTCCCAAGCGTGACATTACCTCGCCTGTTTAGTACTTGGAGAAAGACACATATATAAAACTGACAATTTGCTTGATACAACAACATCTGTTTGTCCAGTCCTATATCCATATTCTTCCACGGTTGCACTTCAGCTTCAACTGATTTGTACTTTTTCCAGTAGTTGTATATGTAGTTACTTTGTATCTAAACCAAATATTTAAAAAAATAATTAACAAGCCTCTAAAAAATATTTATATATATATAATGCAGCATCATAGATTAAACGTGGAAGCTAACATTATTCGCCTTTTATGGCAAGGAAACATTAATACTTATTAATTATTACATTAATTGTTATTATTAATAATGTAATAATTAACCCTTCATCAACGTATCTTTGAATCGTGCAGATATATCTAAGTGAAACTGTTCTATTCCCAGCCTTACTGCTGTTATCCATTTTTACATTTTGCATTTTCCTAAAAGAAATTACCTCTCTTTTCCCACCACCTGAGCCCCATCAGCAGCACCGTGTGAGAAATCAACAGGTTGCAGGTGCTATGAAACGCAAAGGTCCACAACACATCACAGACATGGTGGAGAGACAATTATACAGATTTTAACACAAGCTTACATAACGCTAATATTTGAAGAGCTTCTGGCCATTTCCTCTCCCTTACTGAAAGCTGGCTAATCATGTCAGAGACTTCCCAGCTCACCTCTGGTCTTACTCCATCTGTCTCTGGCCCAGACAGGATGCTATGAATCAAAAGGGTGACATGACTGTTAGGGCAGGCTGCATCAAGTCCATTAAGCTGCCCAACTGCATGCCAGGGTGGTTATAATCAGTCTGTTCAAATGTTAATGATTGTCAGTTTGAATGAAGCCTGGTGTGCTCACTGGCTTTCTTATCCATACTGCTACTGAGATTCTGTTAGAGGACATGACACATGCACATCAGCAGGACACTGGATCAAGACAATTTCCCCTTCAAACCACAGCTTTCCCACAAGCTGTCCCCCTTCTGCCTGTATGGAACAGACCCTCGGCTCTTTATAGAACACCATGTGAGAATGGCGTCAAGGTCATTTGAGGGTAACTAAGCAGAAATAACACGCCGTTTAACTAAAAGTCAGCAGAAAATCCACCACACATCTCTTCCTTTTATTCTGCCTCGTGCACACGCGTCGTTCGGACCAGCAGTTTTTAATGAGCGCTGTGTTGGACAGGAGGAAAATATCTAATCAATAATCTGCTGCACTCTCACAGCACCGTGTCCACGGCATTTCCAGAACGCAATCCTTCATGTATTCTTGTGCGTTAGTCCCAGGAGCTACGACCCCTCTGCGCATTTCAATGCTCTCCGGAATCAGTGCACGTGTTTGCAACTCAGAACAACATCAACAACATCCCCCGATTACAGCATCATCCTGTAGGGCAGGAAACACACCTTAACATCATACAAAATGTTTTACTGAGGTCTCTTAACCATTAAAATGTTTAGGTAGAATAACGAAACAAAAAGAATATTATAAACCTTCCGGAGTGCTCTCAATCTTTGAGTTTGAGAGAATCTCGAAGCATGGGACTACAGTTGTCCGAGGTTGTGTGCACCCTGCTCAGTGCCAGCCCACAGTGTCAAAGCAATGCAGCACACAGTAAAAAACCACTTTACCTGGTAGCACAGTATACTCTCGGGGTCGTTGACTTGCGCGCTCATGGTCTCCTGGTTATCCTGCTTTACCTTCACGGAGTGTAAAGTAAGACTTTCACTGAGCCGCTTTGCGCTGTTTTCGGACGTTTTGAGTGAACAGTCACGAATGGGCTACATCAGCTCCCTTTGTTTCTGCAGCCATATTAAGTGTTTACATCTATCTCAAAGGACTAAAGCGAAGAAAACTGTTATTTTGCTCCTGTGTTGAGATGATTTCCCAGTCGCGCTTCGAGCTCCCCTCCCTCCTGCTGTAGCTGTGTGAAAGCAGGATGCAGAGAGCATCACTGCAGCCTCATCCAATCAGAGCGCAGAGGTAAGCAACGAGCTGCGACGCATTGCTGCTACCAACACGTTGAAGCCAAGACTATTATGAGCCTACAGAGCTTCTTTACAGTGTTCTTTCCAGCAGTTTCCGGTTGTGCGACTACTGTGTACAGCAAAAGGTTCAATTCCGTCTAAAACGACTGCATAATCTTAATATGACAAATAACTCAACCTACACAATAATTTATACTAACATTATTCATCTTGTTTAAAGTTCATTGGTGCTTCTCCTGTTTATTGTGCGTATGTTAGCTTTCTGTCTGTGAAAAACGTTTAATTAATAAACTTTATTTACTTATAGCGCAGATCCCACCAAACTAAATGTGAAGCTGGTATGTTTTAATGGGACAACGACGCACATCTTACTAATGCTAGTAAGTGGTCTGAAATACTGAAATCCACAAAAAAACAAAACAAAAAACATGCAGGTTAAAAGTCTGGCATATCACGTGAAGGCTGCTGTATCATGCATAAATGTACGTACCATTTACAAAATATAACATGCATATATGCAAAAAAAGTCGTTCACTCATGTGTTCCTCTTTTTCAATTACAAAGCTGTTAAAAACGGTTAACTGCATTTCATCCTGTCTAGAAATCATATTTGGGTAAAGCTTCATCTTTACCAGTTGAATTAATTTTAAGAGACTGATCTTTGTAGGAAAAGGCGTAACAATTTCCAACCTAACAATGAAATTCATGCAGTAGAATAAATGTTTTCATGTAGTCCAGTAGCAAACCACTCTACCTGGACTAAACTTTGTGACTGCGGGTTTCGGGTTACAAAATACGCAGATTGGTAACATAATATTAAGCTGTAACAGACGCTAGTGTTGCCTTCTTGGCGCACCGGCTTGAACGAACACAGACCTTCAGAATCTGATTGATCCAGAATATACCAGAAGTCTTCGGATGCCATCGTGTGTTAAGCTGATGCATTACGCAAAGAAAGATCCATGCGTAGTAAATGACATAATTTACCATTGAAGGCAGTTATTTACGATGTAGCACAGATGGGTTCCTTTACCTACGCAACATGTTAATCTTTATTGATAGATAAGGAGATACGATTTAATTAACCAGGCAATAAAAGCAACAGTTTTTGTTTGTTTGTTTTTTCCATCATTGACCTCGGCATGAACTCTTGCCTACCAGTCACGTTGCAGAGCACTGTATTGAATTTTGGCAAGCTGACCCTCTTTAACCACTTTGTCCATTCACACTGAATTCAAAGTGCAACTGCAACGGGATATTTCCACACACATATCATGTATGAGTGCCTTAATTGTCCGTGTGCATGTCGCATAAGCCACGCTGTTTGCAACTGATAGTGTCCGATAGTGATCCAGTTTCTTCAAAGCATGCCTCAAGGTGGTGGATTTTTCATCCACCGGCGTGGCGTCCTGTTTCTCCTGGACACTGTTGTTGGGGGCAACTATAAACTGTCTGTGGGAGCATGCACGGTTGTTATGGGAACAGTGTGCGGCAGCATGAAGGAAGCCGGACTGAGCAAGTCTATGGACGCATACAGATACAGCCCATGCATAGAGCCGCCAGTTCAGTGGGGAAGTGACAACAGAGGTTTGTATATTCATGTCCACTGTAAAATAGCACCTGGTTTTATTTGAGATTCATTTATTCGTTATGCCTTTTTAATCGCTAATTTAAATCATGGAGAGTTGGCTTACCAATCCACGGCTGGTCATGGTGTATTCGTTTTATGTTCCTACTCGTGTGCGCGCACCTGCGCCCTTCTTGCGCGTAGCTCTGCCAGTCATCACAGCCTAAATCAGTTCAGATTAAGATGCCTGATTAACCCAATTTACATCCTTCTTCAGCTGCTGCATAGACAAATTTAGGTACCACATGCCATACTATTTATAGTAAAGCCTCCTCTATTTTTCAGCTGCAGGGGAAACAGTAGCCAGTAGCCTAAACAGCATGTTTAGGTCTACAGTGAAAAGGTATATTTGGATATTGGAATAATGTCCCTATAAATTTGGATCTACTTATATTAGCTTGCTATTTATAGATCTGTATAATTTCAAATCCTATAATATGATGTAAAAATAGTGCAACTGGGTGCATTTTTGCTTTCTCTTTCACATTGTGCATTGGTCAGTTGAAAAGAGACCTACAGACCTCAGCGACAAATGCCAGGTAAGTCATTGTACATCTGCTGGTAAAAACATAATTAGTACTTCATATTTAAATCTGGAGTTTGTTCCAGTGTTACAATCCACAGTTGCTCCAGTGGGGGGAAGGATACGATCCAGTGTACCTAGCCTGCCAGTGATCAATCCAGACAGGCTGAAAACAGCTAAAATGCTGGTGGACAAAGCTGTGAAGGTGATCATATGTAAAAATAGATTTTTATTGTAATGCCACAGTTGATTGTGTCATATTTTTTTTCTTCATTTCTCTTCCTGTCATTCTCAGTTAAGGAAAGTGTTTTCAGTGCAGGGACCCTATCCAGTGATCCGTGCTGCATTATGGGCCAGAGGGTGGGTTGAACGTCGTTTGCCACATCCCGTCCAAAGATCACCTACTTACCCCTGCGTTGAGGAGGGGGATGGTAATGATGGGCTGATCTGCAGTTATTTTACTGGTAAGGCCAAAAAGAGAAAGGATTGCCCCCCTCTAAGTGTGGGAATAATTAACAGAGAGTAATTGTAACACAAGTTAGATGGATTTCCCTTTAGCTGGTAAACAAGAAATCGTATGCTGCATTACAGATGCTAGCCTCTAACACAGACCCCTTTATAAACACCTGTAACCATGCATGTATACACACACCTCTTATCTTGTGACAGAGAGAGCGGAGGAAGGCGAGAAAGGGGAGAACCTTGATGACATGTATGATCTCATGGTAAGATAAGCTTTAGGTGTACCCACTAACTTAACACAGATATCTTGCCCAGTGTAAAGCCAAAGGGACTTTCACTTGTGTCTTTGTTGTGACTCTTGTAGTCTCGCCTTGTTCGAAATGAAACAACGTATTTCTACTGGACGACACGACGGGACAACATAGACTGTCGCTCCTTGCGGCAAGACCAGATGACCAATCACTATGCGAATGCTGGAACATTTACCACAAAGGTAAAACGTTTCTAATGATTAGCTGGCGCATACATTTTATTTAGCTCTTTTCCTGCAGTGTAATTGTTTTGTTTTCAGGTGGGACTTTGTGTGAATCTGCGTAACCTTCAGTGGTTTGACACAGCGGATCCAGACACTTTCTTCCCAAGATGCTACAGGCTTGGAGCAGAGGATGAAAAGCATGCATTCATAGGTCTGCTGTAAATTACATATAACAGAAAAAAAGATGTTCTACAAGACTAAATGAGGTGTAATTTAGGTGCAAAGAATTTTTAAGTTTACTTATGTCCAATAGCTTCTCTGACTGTTTTTCTCTTTTTTATGAACATAAAGAGGATTTCAGGAGAACAGCATGTACTAGTCTGCTGCAGTATGTGGTTGAGACAAGTATTTGGAGAAGAGATGAACCAGAGGGGGACAAACAAAAATCCAAGAACAGTCTCGCTGAAGGTTTAGAAATAATTTCTCACACATAGGAATAAAAATGCTTTTGATGCAAAGTTTGGACAAGAGGTAGTATAACAGTGCAATATTCTCTCTCTCTCTCTCTGCAGAGTTGGATAATGAGGAGCATCGATCTGTTGGTCCAGAAATTATTAACACAGCCTTACACGTGTGTCAAGAGTTTCTCAGTGTTCTAAAGCACAGCGACATTGATGTAACAGCAGAAATACCGCCCTCGGTGGAGGAAGCGCAATGGGCAGAGTTTCTTAAACACTACTACATGGTTGTGCAGTGAGTTGAGAGATTTTCTGGGAGCTTCCAGGGTTTTTCTACAAATTGTCATCGGGTTACACTCGTTTTATTTTCATTACTGGCAGTGGAAGTCTGCTTATAAAAATCAATTTAGGTTGCTAACAACTTTAAAAGGTATCTGAAATAGCAAAATTGGAGTTCTCATTAGTCAGGAGAAGATCCCATAAGGGACGTGTGTGTGTTTCTTATCTTGGGTCTTCTACCAGAGACCTAGGAATTTGAGGGTTCTGCGCAATGTCTTAGCTCACTGCACTCCTCTGGACCTCAGGTGTTGTGTCTCATATCTGCTGGAGACCATCTTCCAGTTTACAGCTTACATACAGTTTACAGATCCCAGTTCTCCCATTACCACTGGGACCACTTTGGACTTTAGCTAGAGCGGATGTGCTCTAGTTGTACTTTTCTATTATCTTGTGCTCTTTCTTCCTGATGTTACTGACCACTGAGATTGTCGCATCTATCACAACTATGGTCTTCTGCTCTTTGTAAACCACCACCAAGTCTGATTGATTGGCCCGCAGCTGCTTGTCTGTCTAGAACTTGAAGTCCCACAAGACCTTAGCCATGATGTTTCCAACCACGTTTGGTGGTGTCTCTCATTAGGACTTGGGAACTTCTGTATGCTCTTGTACACTATTCCCTCCACTTAGTTGTGCCTCCCAGTGTACGGTGTCCTGGCTTGCCTCTTACATCCTGCTACTATGTGCTGGACTGTCTCTGGGGCATCAGTCTGGGTCCTGTCGCCTGCGGTAGACTCCTGCATACATCCATCTGGTGCTTCCTGTGCCGCCATGATCAGAGCCTTTGTGCTGTCCTTTTCTAGCTGCTGGAAGGATTTATTCATGTCAGGTGCCACTTGTAGCTGTCAGTGGTACATCCCATGCAATGGCTTAGTCAAGTCAATAAGTAAAGGTTGGGGTTAAATATAGAATTACATGCTATACATGTTCAAAATACAGAGGGCTTCAGAAAACTACCACTACTATGAAGCTGTATTTGCAATTCTAACAATAACATGTTTATATGCAGTAAAGGCAAACTGATCAGGGGCAGCAGTGTATTTGTGGAGCGTTGCCAGGATATGTTAACCAGACTTCAGGCTGTTTGCCCACAGCTGGACACAGATGGATTAAACAACATCTGGATCATCAAACCAGGTGCCAAATCAAGAGGAAGAGGTTAGGCTTTTTTCTGATAATTTACCTTCGTAATAGTTAATATGATACTTACATAGCAAGCTTGCTTTTTTTTTTTTTTTACAGGTAAACAGCTGTGAAAAATATTGAAGAAAGCAAGCCTGGTTTTGTTTTCAGACATTCAACTGATGAATGGACATAATTAATATATATATATTTTTTAGATTTTCCTTTTTATTTGGGAAGTTATATTACAGCAAAATAGAAAAAAACCCACAGCACATACATAAAAATTATGTAAAAATTATACGTGCATAATAATATAGTCTGCCAAGACTACAGTAGCACAACATAAATTCTAGCATCAAGTCTTCTGTGCAAACTTTCTCATAAAAACATTTGAAAAAAACCCTATTTTTTATTAAAATCCCTGTTTTTTCGGTTTTGTTTTACTAATTTTAATACATAGAGAAGAAAGATGTCATACTCTTTTTTTCCTCCTTTCACTGTTTTTATTTCAAGACTCACATAAGTTTTTAAACACCACTGTTTTCATCTCAACAAAGATATGATTTGTAGTCAAGTCTGGCCTAAGTGGAATTATATATGCAGGTATAGCTACTTTGCCTTCACTCTCATTTATCTTTAGTAGATGGCTGTTCATTTTGGAGGGCTCTTCTTATTTTTATTGCACTTTGCAAGTCATTTTTTATTATTTTCTGACAAATTTCAGAGGACAACTTTGTCCAGGGATCATTTTTGTTTGTTGAGCTGTCAAATAGTTTTCTGTCTGCGATCATGCTCGAATTGTTGGTCTTGGTCGCATTTCCTTCCATCTGGCTGCACACAAGAGGCCTTTATTGCACTGCACAGCAGTGGTAAAGCCAACCCTTCTTTTTTATCTTTGAAGTACTTTGTATTTCATTATTGACTTTATGTGTGTTGTTAAGAAATCAACATGACCCATTCTTTGAATGTATGCTGGGAAATTTGACATGGTATTGACTGAAAGCTGGCATAGTGAAATTACTTTAAAAAGACTGGAAAGATATGAGATTCCATCATCAAATATCAGATTTGATTCACGAGGTCATCTTAAACACTGCTGAATCAAATAGGTTGTCAAAATTGCAGTTCTGATTTTGTGTTTTAATCAACTCTGCTTTCACCTCTTTTTTCACTCCCACACCCTCATCATCATTAGGCATTATGTGTATGAATCACCTGGATGAGATTTTGGCACTTGTGGACACTGACAGAGCACTGACAAAGGAGAGTAAGTGGGTGGTTCAAAAATACTTGGAACGACCCCTGCTGGTCCACTGCACAAAGTTTGACCTCCGTCAGTGGTTCCTTGTAACTGACTGGAACCCTCTGACTATCTGGTTCTACAAAGAGTGCTACCTGCGGTTTTCCACTCAGCCTTACTCGACAAAAACTCTGGACAGGTCAGTAAGAGTTTTCAAGCAAAAGACAAAAAATGAAGGTTACAGTTAAGTTTTACGGTGTCTTTTATCTAGAGTACTTTGTGGATGTTCCCATTTTCTACCATTTTCCTCAGCTCAGTCCACCTGTGCAACAACTCCATCCAGAAGCACTTCCAGCCATCTCGTAACCGCCATCCAGGACTGCCGGAGGATAATATGTGGTCCTGCTCACAGTTTCGCTCTTTTCTGCAGCGAGAGGGCCGTGAGACAGAGTGGGAGTCGGTGGTGATACCAGGCATGCAGCAAGCAGTTGTCCATGCTCTACAGACAGCCCAGGATTTGGTGGAGCCCCACAAGGCAAGCTTTGAGCTTTATGGAGCTGATTTTATGTTGGGCAGAGATCTGAGGCCTTGGCTTCTAGAGATCAATGCCAGCCCTACTATGGCCTGCTCCAGCACTGTGACTGCGCGGCTCTGTCCTGCTGTGCAAGTCGACACGCTGAGGGTTGTGCTAGATTGGAGGACTGATCCCAGCGCTTACACAGGAGGCTTCAAGCTTATTTACAAACAGGTTGGACTGGCTTCAAAGCCAATTGCTGTTTATTTCCAGGGTATTTCTACTTAACGATGAATGCCATGGAAAATTTTGTGATTTGTTTTTACTTTATCACATTTTCAGGCTGCAGTTGAAGTTCCTCAGTATTTGGGAGTGAACCTACTAGTGGAAGGAGCGACCATAAAGAGATCCAGACATTACAGACAATCTTTTATCTCTAACTCACCTCTCCCTCATCAGGTCCATCCAGAGCAGTTATCTCAAGCTGTGGCTGAGCCAAGACACAAACAACTCAGTCAGAAGCCACATGCAGTTGCTGATTTTCCCCTTTTAGGCAAGGAGAGCCAAGTGAAAAAGAGCCAGATGACATCTACATGTCCAAAGAGGGAGCACGATAGAAAAGCAGAACGTCAAAACACCTGCCCTGTTCGCAAATCCTGCCGCAGCGTGGCATGTGAACAGCCTGCAAGTGTACACACTGAACCTCAGAAGAAAGCACAGCGTTTGGGATCACGTCGCCGTGTCAGTGGGGCAACCCTGGTGCCAAGGAGTCTATCCTTTTCCTTAGACCCGGCATGTTGTACATCAGAGGGTAAACATCAGTCCATCCGTCATCATGCATCACACACGTCCAAATCCTTCCTTTCCCAGCGAAGCTCTGAGCCACAACATAAGATTTCCTCCAGGGTCTTTCCGTCACTCCATGGTCCCCTTCCAACCCTGGAGATCTTTCAATTGCAACCAAATATTGTGACTGGAACTAACGTTTGTCATAATTCTGCCTTTTTATCTCACCCGACTACCCACAAGCATCCGTTATGCCTAAACTCTCAAAGGCAAGTCAAAGCTAGACACAAAGGGGAGCTCACAGAAGAACATAAGTACAAGAGATGTTGAGTTGATGGAGATGGAGCACAGCCAGAAATGCTGAACATAATTTACATTTTAATGGGCTGAAGCCAAATTAGCAGAATATCTGTTAGTTTATCTATATGGATGTCTGTACAAAAGTTTGGCCTTTTTATAGGATGTGGGTATTTCAATTCCCCACCAGGTGGCAATAAAGTTTCAATGATTAAAAAAAAAAAAGGTTTAAGGTTTGGTGATGACAGGAAATAACCAGAGAAAATCATTCTGGGTCCACAGACACGCTGATACATTTAGCAACACCTATTTAATGTGTTTCAGTGCTTTTTTATAAAAAAAATAAAATTAAAATGTAAAAACAACTTGGAAAGTTATTTTTTAAGTGATATGGGTCTTTATGCCCCAAGAAGAAGAATCTTTACTCTACTGATTACAATTATTTTCTCAAAACATTCAGACAGCAACACACTTGACTGCCACAGGTTTAATCAAATTCATGTAAACTATCGTTAACTAGATTTTGTTGAGCTGTGTGTTAAATAACACATGTGGATAAAATAATAACGTTTTTTTCATATGCTTTGTCATAATTTTTTAACTACAGACAGGAAACAACGAGAGAGGGACAGTCGAATATGACTTGAGAAAACATGGTATTCATCTTATCCACTAATTTGCTATACTGCTGGAAGCAGCCATCATAAGATGGGTACACTGTGGTCTTAAAGGGATTGACATAGTCAGCAACAATACTCGACTGGTACCAGCAGCCATCAGTGCTCCTACGTGCAAATATTCATGTATGCGGCAGCAGCTCTGTTCATTAGACATATAGACATGGTAAAAACGACCTGCTGAAGTTCAAAGCGTGCATCAGATTTAAGGATGATTTAAAGTGACTTTGAAGGTGGCATGATAGCTGGTGACTGACAGGCTGATCTGAGTATTTCGAAAACTGCTGATCTGCTGGGATTTTCCCACATAAAAGTCTCTAGGGTTTACAGAGAAAAAGAGAGAATTTCTAGAGAGCAGCAGCTCTCTGGATGAAAATGTCTTCTTAATTGCAGAGAAGAATGGCCAGACTGCTTTGAGCTGATCGGAAGGCAACAGTAATTCAAATAAGCACTTGTTACAACCAAGCTATGCTAAAGAGCATCTGGTTAGCCTGGCGGCTAATCCTATCTTTTTTTCTTTTTTCTTTTTTTTTTAACTTTATTTATCACATTTTAGACATACAGTCAAGTAAAACAGGGATCACATAAAAGATGACATTGTGGTAGTAGCGGCTAATGCTATCTACCGCCTGACTACCGAGGACCAGTGACGTCATCAGCGAGAGACCGGTGACCAGCATCGCGGAGCATGACGTCCGAGCGGCATTGAGGAGAGTGAACACAAGGAAAGCGTCGGGGTCAGACGGCATCACCGGCCGTCTGCTGCGCTGCTGTGCTGACCAGCTAGCAGGCGTGTTCACTTCCATCTTCAACGAGTCCCTGACGAAGTCTGTGGTCCCCACATGCTTCAAAAGATCCACCATCAGCCCTGTGCCCAAGTACAGCAAACCCTCATCCCTGAACGATTACCGGCCAGTTGCACTGACCTCGGTGGTAATGAAGGTGTTTGAGAGGCTGCTGAAGAACATCATCTCCTCCTCCATCCCAGACACCACAGATCCGCTGCAGTTCGCCTACAGATCCACAGAGGATGCCATCGCCCACGTCCTACACACCACTCTCAGCCATGTGGACAAGAAACAGGGTAACTATGTGCGAATGCTGTTTGTTGATTACAG